CTGAACAATGCACAGAGGTTTATTTAACAATGTAATTGTTTGTTTACAATGAGAGGTGATTCCAGACTTTAAAACTGTATATCTCTATCAACTGTATATCTCTATACCCATCCATGAGGTATGACAGCAACATAACCAGCTCAGTCCCTCAAACATTCATGTGTAAATAATCATCCATTTCATATGATGGTGTAAATACTTGAACCTGTGAAGTTAAAGTTCAGTGATACGTTAATCCAAATTCTATTTTTCCTGTGTATAATGCAATGTCTGTAGTGTCCAAATGCTACGTGCTGTCATTGATGACATTAGCTAGAATCTGAAAATCCATAATCATCTCAGTTGGTGGTGGATAATGTGATATTTCCTGATGGAGGGAAACAGCAGCTAACTAAGTGGTCAGGTGAGTAGAGGAGGCTAAAGGCTGACCTGTCGCTCTGTTGCTGAATTAGTTATTCTTTTAACACTGAGTCTTCATGTTGCCATAAAATTTTGTACAGGGTATAATTTTTACTGTACTGTAATTACTAAATGAAATACCTTTTTTTCTTGTTCCATTTATTATCATAAGTATTTTTCTATTAATATGTAATCAGGTCAGAAGAGGAGGCTAAAGACTGACCTGTTGCTGAATTAGTTATTCTGAGCACTCAGGTTCTTTCTCTCTCACCTCCACACTTCTCTCTTTTTCTATCCATTTTATGACAATATGAAACAACAGTGCTGACAGTGAGTGAGAGACTATTTCAGCTAGGATGATTTCTTACTGAATTACTAAATAAGTTTCCAGTAGTAGCAACAGAACCAGAGTGTGACAAAGTTCTTCTGTGTTGCTGTTCTTGAATTGTTTGTATTTTACTGGCTGACAACTGGACCATTTGACACAACCACTGGTGCAAAATAATGGAGGAAGGGTTTTGGAAAGATTTTGGAGATTTTTCGGAAAGTGAAATCTGAATTCCATCAAATCTACACCAATGTCATGGCCTTGCACACTGAGTTGCAAAAGACTGCTGCTGCATGTCATGACGATGCTAAATATTTGAAATATTTTGTGCTGCATTCACATTTTGCTGTAAGTCTACCAGGCAATTTCCGAATCACAAGACAGAAAGCTGCACCAAGGACAAACTAATGTATAATCCCCTTTTGTGAAGCAAAGTGAGCAATCGGCTCTTTAACCATTTGAATAAAGGATGTCTGTAAAACTTGCTTGTTGTAGTGCCAAGCAAAGCAAATGCTGTCTGTGTGAATGACCAATGTGTGCTGGTCAACCCCACCTTTAACTTCTATCAACATTACACAATCACTATCTTTCTACGCTACAAAGTGGATAAATATGGGGGGCATTTAGTCAAAAAAAGTCTGCCACTTGAAGCAGACTCATAATTCCCTCATATCAGAATGTATTTCTGCCTGTTATTGCCTTCTTTCATTTTGTAAAGCAGATACTTTGCTTCTTTCAGAATGATGTTGGATTTTGACTTTTTTTTGCTTAACTAGCTTTGATCTTTGTGTTGGCCTTGACAACCCTTTTTATATCCTTTTAGCCTGGTAATTCTCTTTTTTTGACCCTAGCTTGGTTTTTGACTACATGTTTGGATTGTCCATTTACTTATTATAGCCTCAAATCTTTGTTTTATCCATGTCTGACAGTTTCTGACCATTTACAAGTGTGATAATCAAAAACAATTCATGTTTTGGCTTAGTCAAAACCCTGAACCCAATAGAGATGCTGTGGTGGGGCAACAAAACGAGCAGTTCATGCTGGTAAAGATACCACTGTATCTATAATAAAACTAATAAAACACAAATATGTAAAAGGATGATAACAAATAATATGAAATGTTTCAAGTTTCAAGTTTATTTGTCATTTGCACAACATGTCAGGACATTTATGCATTGAAATGCTTGTGGTGAAGCTCAGCTAATCTCTCTACAGAAAGTAATCAAAGTAAAAATAAAAATACAAGAAAAACAAACTGAAATATATTAAATATATATTGTGACCAACAGAAATGCTCCAAATATTTTATTTTTGGAATAAAATCTCTTTCATTTAATTTATATTCGGAGTAATGTAACAAAAAATAATTTATTATAAATAGTTATTAAGTGAAGAACAAAATATACACAAGATGAAGAGACAATATACATTTTAAAGTGACTTAAGTGACTCAGTGTTATTGTTATTTAAAGTGAATTAGTGTTAAAGTGTTATTGTCCATATCAGTGATTTTCATGATAACTTTGCTCCTTAAATATGCAATAATAATTTATAATTTGTGTTTTGTGTTAGATTAGGCACACTTTGTCCAATATTACATTTAGTTTAAAAATCTGAAAGCAATTACTGTGACAAATATGCAATACTAGAGATAATCAGAAAGGGGACAAATACTTTTTCTCAGCAGTGTAAGTAGGATTAGGGAAATACAGGTTCAGGTGTTCCTTATCAGTGCTGGTCCTCCTGGATGGTGCCTACAGACCATCCTCATCTGACACCCAGCTACTGTAGTATGTGTCTGTGTATATGTGTGTGATGTACAGGAAACCAAAAAAGCATAAATTGCAGTTTTCTCAGTTGATTTAGCACAATTTCTGAAACATAAAACATAAAATTATTTTTTTAGTTTTTATCAGTTTGAACTGTGCAGAACAACAAAATATTTAAAAGTCCATAACTCGCTCAGTTTCACTTACATTTCAAAATGAAATTAATTCATAAGTGAACACAGTCAAAGCCACCAAAATCAAGCAAACCTTTATTGTTGCTTAAACCAAGACTGGACAACCTTTTACCTTTACAAAAATGTAAAACAGCAAGAGAAAGAAAATAATAAAAAATAAACACAACAACATAATTCAAAATTAGAAATTAATGTATTATTAATTATAATTAACGAAAGAGAAACACAATGACAGAAAAACCCTTCATGTACTTTAACTAATCAAATGCCTTTAGAGTGAGACTCAACTGGACATCCAGCCAGCACTACCAACCAGGCACTGGACAATACAGCTCAAAACTGGACTCCAGTCCAAAATCAGACACCTGGCAACCCTAGTTAGACATAAGTACTTGCCTATGGTACAAATGTACATAGTCGACTGGCAAAAACACTTTAATTATCAGTAATTCACAGCTGAATGAGGATTGTGTCGTACACTCTCCTGCTGGGCCTGTGCAGTAGCTGCCATGCTAATCCAAAGACATCTTGTTTTTGTTTTTCTTCACAGTCCTTCACCCAGCTCTACCAATCACCTGATTCTTATCAAGAGGTAAACCTGTCCGTAGCTGTATGTTGGCACATATACTCAAGGGCACATACTCGTGCCGTTCTGCATGGCATTGTGAAGTCTCTGTTGTAAGTTGTTGTAAGTTAGTGCTTTCTTTGTATTTCTTAGTTAAACTAGTGTTTTGTGTTTAGCCTGACTTCAGCCTATCTAAGTCCACCATGACTGTATCTTCTGGTTTTGTAGTTCTGAACTGTTACCACTCTGATTGATGTGTCCCTCTTAATAAACCTCCATTGCAAATGCATCCTGCCTCATCTCATACATTACAGATTGCGTCTGTGCTGTGACAAGTGTATTTTTAATGTTTTGCAATGTGCCGCATGTGCATTTTGTGTGAACACAATGAGTAAAGAAATAGTGCCACGAACTTGGGTGGGAAGTAATAAAGAATTAGTACTTCTTTCCTGTACTTAAGTAAACCTTTTAAGTTTTTGTACTTTATTTGAGTATTTCTTTCACTTAACACTTTTTATTTTTACTCACTACATTTCAAAAGAAAAATCTGTACTTTCTACTCACAACTTTTTAAAACCAGGCTCATAATGCTTCATTTCATTTTAAATGCTTCGTTTTTCATTTGAGAAAAAACTGTGAGAAGCATGTCTAATGTGGCTCAGATGAGCGATATTAGTTTTAGAGGTGCACCATATTTCTAGAACAGCACACATTGCCTGGACAACACCACCATCTATTGGGCATCATATCAATGCACAGTGCATAAATGAATGCTCAGAAACATAAGAACTAAATATGCAACAATAATAGTATATTAACAATATGAGTGACAGTTTTTCATTTTAATTGTTTTGATTCTTTCCAGGTAATATAGGGCAGTGATTTAAACTTATAGGAGACGTTTCATTTAGACTATTATAGTTTACTATAGCCTTCCTGACAGTACAGTAAAGTACTAAGGAGAGCAACAAAACATTTAATCACACTTAGGTGAATGAATAATGATTGTGAGCTGAGCTGGATTAATATTTTTAAAACAAGTTCTTTTGAAGATTAGACTTCAGCTTGTTTAATGAGGAACCGCAGCCAAAGCTTTCTCCTTCACTTAATAACTATTTATAATACATTATTTTTTGTTACATTACTCCTGATATAAATTAAATGAAAGAGATTTTATTCCAAAAATAAAATATTTGGAGCATTTCTGTTGGTCACAATATATATAATATATATATATATATATATATATATATATATATATATATATATAGAGAGAGAGAGAGAGAGAGAGAGAGAGAGAGAGAGAGAAAGAGAGAGAGAGAGAGAGAGAGAGAGAGAGAGAGAGAAAGAGAGAGAGAGAGAAAGAGAGAGAGAGAGAGAGAGAGAGAGAGAAAGAGAGAGAGAGAGAGAGAGAGAGAGAGAGAAAGAGAGAGAGAGAGAGAGAGAGGGAGAGAGAGAGAGAGAGAGATATTTTTGACAGCTACAGTATTCTCTCACTGACAGATCTGAGATCAGTAGATACAGACTGTATTTTATCCACACACTGGGAGCTCAACAAAATAACAGTGTTTGGACATAAATCTTTAGCATAGATTGTGGAGAGACCTTAGTGAAATGATCAGCAAACCTCTTTGGTTTTTAATGCTTAATTTTAATAAAAACACATCTGTTATTGGCAGAGAAATAATAATATACTATAATAAAAATAAAATATTTTATTTTATTTTTATAATAAAAAACAGAGTTACAGACTGCAATGTATACAGAGATACAGGAATATAGTATATAATATTGAAATATGAGGTTAAGTACAAATGCAGAATCTGCTAGAAGGTTATCTGAACAGAGCAAATCACCAATCTTATCAACAAAGGGCCCGATGAAGTTGATTTAATGCACAGGCCTATCTGGGCTTAATTCAGGGCCTGATTGGCTGTTTCGTTTTGTTTTGGTGTTTTTTTTATGATATTTATTAATTCAACTTGCGCACACACACACACACACACACACACACACACACACACATCACTGATTATCTTTTTACACAATGTTCACTTCCATGACTGTTGATTGGCTGGATTAATTCAAAATATCAGTTCTGATGCTGATTGGCCTCTGTATCAGACACATCTGAGTTGGAGCCAGCTGCTTAAATTTAAAAGAACAGAGCTCAAAAATTATATGGTCAAAAAGGAAATTAAGTATGAGAGCAGACTGTGATGAAAAAGAGTCCCAAAATAATGGAGTTTTGAATTCACTGACATCTCAACATCATCACCAGTTAGTGTACCAGTTTGATCCTGAAGCCAAAATGCAATAACAGTGACATTTTAAGAAACAGGACATTATTAAACACTTTTCATCCAAAAAAAGGAGAAGAACGAGAGACCGATAAGCTACTCTGTAGTGTTTAAATCAGACAACGAGATCATTTTGCCTCGTATGTTTTAACATGCTCAAACTATAGACTACAGCTTGTAGCAGAGCTGATTAATTTGGTGATAATTTTCACTGAATAAACTTGCATGTGAAAGACTACAGCTTTTCCTGGTCTGGTTCTGGATTTAACTGAATGCTAGTAAGACACCGAGTGGTGCTCAGAGACTCAGCCGTGCTGGAAGTTGCTGACCGGTGGCAGCACCTTCATGTTATATCACGTGTCCTCCTGCTCGGCTAAAAATCTGCAGCCACGTCATAAAATAATGACTGCTGTAAAAAACAAAGCTGTAATTTAGAGTCATTTACATACTGAGTACTGAGTAACATACTGAACTGCACTGCTCGTCCATCCAGCATCAGTCAGCACAGGAAACGACTCTATTATGCTTGATTAGATTAGATTAGTTTATTTTTCCTTTTAGTGTAAAATAAAATATAACACTGTACTGTAGGTCAGTGCTCATAAGGCTACGTGTCAACTTGCATAAGCCTTTCAAGGCAGCTGACATAAACCTTCATAAACATTTATAAAGGCTTATTCCAAAGAGGCTGCAGTGGTCATAAAGGCTGTTCTTCACAACTTCAAAGTCAAGTTAACATCACAGCTGTGTGGAGTGACGGGTTCTTACTGACGTTTTCTGTCTGGGGTGAAATGACAGCTGACTTTGTAGCTGACTTTGTCTTTTTGATGTCAAACACAATGATAAATATATATTATAACTTGACATGATATTGGATATATTGTGAAGGTTCTGATACTGTTTTTTGTATGCATGTATGTATATTAGGTACTGTATGTGTGTGTGTGTGTTCTGATTTGTTGCTTTGAATTTAAGACATAGACTGTGAGGATCTTCTCTGAGATGTGATGTTCAGGTGTAGCTGTACAGCTGAGAATCATCTCACTGAGAGTCAGAGGAGTCGATTCTCTCTGGGAGAAAAAAACACACAGAGTCTAGTTCATTATCAGAAATAACAAAGAGAGGCACTCATTACATCTCAGAGCGTCGCTGCTGTTACATGAACAGTGCAGCTTTATGTTACACACAGCAAAAACATCTAAGGCCTGACTTAAAGCATGACTTTACAAGCAAAAATGTAATTGACACTTTAGTTTATTTCATATACTTCCAGTGCGCACAATATATCCACTTCAAATTCACACACATAAAGAACTGTTTTCACTTTGGATTTAAAAATATGAACAAAGTATGTATTCATGAGTTTAATCACAAAATATTTAACCACAAAATAGATTTCATAAAACAAAGTGGTACAGAAAATATCAATCATCAGTCATGAAGATACACACTTAAAAATGATGGTTCTTCAGGGTCTTTAGTAAAGAAAATGTCTCTAAATAGAACCATGAACACAAAAAGAACCCTTTGCTTGATTAAAGGGTTCTTTCCATCATGAAATGTTTTTTTCAGACTGATGAAGAAAGTGCTGTAGATGGTTCTGTATAGAACCTTTTTGAAATGGTTCTATACAGTACCCAAAAGGGTTCTTCCATTGTAACAAGCATGACATCGTAACAATAAATGAACCCTTTTTGGTGCCATATAAACCCCTGTACAACACATCCATCAATCCATCAATCTGAAGAACCATTTCATGATGCAAAGATCCCTTTAATCATGCAGAGGGTTCTTTGAGTGTTCATGGTTCTGTATAGAACCATTTCTTTACTAAAGAACCCTGAAGAGCCATCATTTTTAAGCGTGTAGCAATCACAGTGAGGGTGAAGGAGCTTCCTGAAGTTCTCAGGAACAACATTAATAAACTCTACAGAGCCAAAGCAAAAACCTTTAACATCCCGGTCAGTGAAGCAGTTTGATGGTGAAAGAAAGTTTGTGGAGCCACATCTAACAGTTTCTGGACGGAGGAAACCAGGCAAGACTTCACAACCTGATCTCTGACTCATGATGAGGAAGGTAAAAGAGAAGCCAGTGGTCACTTAAAGAGTCACAGGACGACCTGCAAACCACCTGCTGCTGGAGTTTTAAACATCTCAGTGTCACTGCTGGACTGAGAATAGTCCACCAACCAAAAACATCCAGCCAACAGCGTCCTGTGGGCAGCGTCCTGTGACCACTGATGAAGGACTAGAGGATGACCAACACAAACTGTGCAGCAGCAGATGAGCTAGTGGACAGTGAGTGGACACAGGGATTAAAAACTCCAGCAGCGCAAAGTTGAAATCTGCTGAACTTTTTGGCCCGCAAGCCATCATTCAGCGCACAATGCACCAGAGCTCAGCACTAAAATCAAAATCAAAATTCAATTTAAAGTGGATACACTGGAAGTTTATTAAAAATCAAAAATAAGTGTCTGAATACGTTTTTCCCCTCACTGCCTTTGTTCATTAGAATAATCTCTAAAGACATTTGTCCATTTAGCATCATTTTTAATATTAATGCTACAGTCTGTGACCAAATAGCTGAACTTCCTTTCCTTTCTCTTCCTTTCTTAACTGTGCCTGATCTGCTGCCAGTGGCCTCACTAAATATACGGGCAAAGCTGATGAGCTTGTGCCTCCACACGGCTACCAGATCAGACTACATGAAGAAAACCCTGCTCCTGGAGATCTTCCTCCCTGACTGAAGATATCCAGATCCTCAGTCCACTTCATCAGTGGATCTGGTGTGTTAGATTTGGAGCAGGGTTGATGACCACTGGCCTACAGAGCAACCATCTCAGATGTGCATAATATGGTCAGGAAATATCACTGCTGGAGGCTTTCAGTGATTTCTTAAAGATTCAAAATCACCAAACCACATTTTTAAAGAAATAGATAAGTCATACCCAGATTTGGCAGAGAGACATTGATGAAATTCCATCTTCCTAAAAAATAAAGTCACATTTTAGATTAGTATATATTAGTATGTGACTGTAAAGCTATGCTAACATTATTCTGGGTTATTTGTGGATCCAGTGTTTAGTGGACGTTTCCTCCATGAACAGGTGATGATCTCACCTCCAGCTGTGGTCAGTCCTGCAGTCTGAGCCAGTCCATCCTCACTGAGCTTCTGACCATCATCATTCTCAGCTGAGAGAGAGAATGAGAAAATGGACTGATTCAATTGGGAAATAACTTTTAAATATGAAGCATAATTTAATGTAATTTTCATGTAACGAAGTAAAGTATGAGCTCAGAATGAAATAGTGACCGTTACCCAGAGTCAGAGGAATATCCATAGAAGCAGCAAATCTTTCTATAATTAAAAATCAAACATCAGTGAGGAGCAGCAGTGAATATGTAGAATATTCCACTTTCTGATCAGATTAATGAGTTTAGGAATGGGATCAATGGGCCTCATTCACCAACCATTCTTAAGAAGAAATCTGATAGATAATGATAATCTCACCTATCAGTGCCAGCAGCAAAGGATCCTGGGGATTTGTTTCAGCCCTGTGGTCACTTTCCTCTCCCTGCATCTCTGAAAGAGTCATAAACACTCATCTGTACAATCTCTACAGCACTGTTACTGTAACAGTGTACAGTAAATGAAGGATGATACTGATGTAGTTTAACTCATTACAAACCCAGAACCAATAGAAGTGTGTAATAAAACTTTCGGCCTGCCGGTGGGCTCTGGCCATTTAACGGGTTAATTGTTCTACACAGAAATAAGTGCAGAGATTTACCAAATGCAGGGAGAGAGATGGTTCTAGATCCAAGCTGCCCTGTTACAGAGAGAGAACAGAACCACATACAGTGGAAAAGATTCTTAGCTCTTCTGTCAAATTAGGAAGCACAGCACAGCACAAAACACGGTGATGTATTTATATCACAAAGCCTGTAGATCAAGAATGTTTTAACAGATTCGTTTCTTAACAGATGATCTACAGAAGATCAGAATAATAATGTGTTTGTTCTTATTAGTGTGACTTCAGTGTTTAGTGGACATTTCCTTTAGGTTTTGGACTCACCTCCAGCTGTGATCAGTCTCGCAGTCCGAGTCAGTCTGTCCTTACTGACCACAATCATCCTTATCTGACCACAGTCATCATCTTGACCAGCTGAAAGAAAATGAGAAGATGGACTCCAATGATGGACTTTTAGATTCCAAATATGACTTGGTTTACTGAGTTTTCATTGTTAATTTCAGTGCATATTTATCAGTTAAACACCAATGAGCCAAAACATAATGACCTATGTGCTGTTTATCCTCTGCGTTCTGCCTAAACAGATCCGACCTGCTGCAGCATGGACACTACAACACCTTGGAAGGTACCCTGTGGGATCTGGCAGAGACATAAGCAGCAGATCCATTAAGTCCTGTAAGTTGCAAGATGGAGCCACTGCAGATTGGATGAACATACCAGCTCAATCAGATTAAGATTTGGAGGCCAAATCAACACATTTGACTCTTTATCTTTATCCTCAAACTGTTCCTGAACATTGTATTCATTGTCCAGGCAGATGCCCTCATGCATCAATGAGCTTTGGGCGCCCACCACTCTGTCACTGATCCGTTGTTTGTCCCTCCTTGGACCACTGTTGGCACAGGTACGCACCACTGCTGATCAGGAGCACCAGGAGATGCTTTGACCCAGTCATCTGGCCAAAACGATCTGGCTCTTGTCAAAGTTGCTCAGGTCTTCACGTCTGCCTATTTCTCCCATGTCCATGTTGACTATGAGAACCATTGGCTTGCTGTCTAACAGATCCTGGACCTTGACATGTGCTGTTGTTATGAGATAATCAACATTATTTGCTTCATCTGGGAGTGGACGTGATGTTTTGGCTCTTTGGTGTACATATACACAGAGGCAGAACCAGAGGGGATGGGGGGCACAGATAATGTAACTACAGTGATATAAATAAGAGTTAGAGCAGATTTGAGGTCCAGTACAGAACACACAGCTAAGTATTGAGGAGACCAGACTGTCAAGGTCTCAACTCTTACAGTAATTGGCATGAAACTGTAAAATCGTTAAAAATCCAATTTACATAATTTTCTGTTTCCTATGGATAAATAACAGGTCTCATGTGATTCAAGTTTTTTTTAACTGAACAACTTTGCCATTTCAAGTTATGTCGGAAATTGGATGGCTTGTACAGTATTTGACTTATTTGTTCAAGATCTGCAGCTTAAGCACCAATGTCAGAAGATCAATCTTTACTAAGCCGAAAAAGTATCTTCATTTAAAGTCTCTGAACAATAATCTTGGCATATTAAGAACTTTTGATCAACTCTGACTTCCTATCATTTATCTTTTGTCTGCAAAAAGGCCCCAGTGCTGTGCATTAGACCTCATTGAGCTGACTGGTGCTTGGACCCCTGAATTGCTGCTTGGGGCCATATTTTACTTTTACTTGATATTTTTTATTGTTCTTTTCATCAAAATCATAATGCAAGAGATGACATTTTTCTGCCATATAGAACTGCTTGAGAACTTTCCATTTAGAAGGGCCGTTGTATTAAAAATAAGTGTAAAGTATTACTTTCAAATGAGCCCACCACCACCACTAGGGTCCGCTACTGAGGTTTGCCCTGGCCTTCTGTAAAAGTTTACCACTGTATATATACGTGTTACAAGTTATCTTGATGTGAAAATAAGTTAACACATCCTCTACAGAGACACACTTCTGTGCATTTTATATTTCTTCCAATATGTTAAACTTAAACTGAAATTGGGCAGTAAAATGAGCAGGAAAATGCCATATTTAAGTATGTTCTCTGTAGACTTATCTTCACATCATTTGACTGGGAATGTCCAAACATTTGCAGATGACTATATCTTGAAATACTGAAGATATACTAAAAATGAAATAAGTATCATTACCCAAAGTAAGAGGAATGTCCATTGAAGCAGCGAATCTCCCTATAATAAAGCAATAAAAAAGTGAAGTTTAAAAAAACAGTAAGCATGATGAATATTACATTCAGGATCGTGAGTTTGTGAATGTCTTGTTTCTTGTTCAGAGTCTGTCTCCTACATATGATGATATTAAGGTTTTTTTTAGCTGAGCAACTGTCAGAAATGTATCATTTGCCTGCAAAAAGGCCGCATTGCTGAGCATTAGCATTGAGTTGATTAGTGCTTGGACCCCTAAATTGCTGCTTGCTGCAATACTTCTAATTTCTTCATTGTCATTTTCATCAATTTTTCTCTGCCATATAGAGCTACAGCACTTTTAGAAAGGCTGTCGTCTTTTATGGTCATAAGGGCAGTGTTTCTTTTAAACACTCCTCTCCTCCTCAGTCCAGCTCACACTGAAATTACGCATAAATGCGTCATTCTTCTTGAAAGAAATGTTTCCAGTGTTGGTTTTTGTAGCCCCTCAGTGTTCGACAAACACTTTTTTTGCTAATGTTGAACAAAGATACCATAAAAAATACTGAAAATGTACTAAAAATTAAATATGTATCGTTACCCAAAGTTAGAGGAATGTCCATTGAAGCAACAGATCTTCCTATTATAAAAACGTAAAAATAAAGAGTAAACATGACATTAAGAATATCAAATTCAGGTTAATGAGTTTGAAAATGTAATAATTTAGTAGTTCACATTTGAATGTAATGATATGTGATATTTGAAATTACACTTAGAAACATTGAGATCATTTCTTGTTTAGAGAAAGCAGCAGATCTGACAGCATTACAGAAATATGAAAAAGGACTTTCAGTATAAACATTTGTTGCAGTGACCACTGTGATGGGCAGGAATGTGATGTAAAGTGAATGGCACTGAACCCACTGTCAGTTCGGTCTGCATCTCGTCCATCATGATCGTCATTCACCATCACTGAAAGAGGGAGAAGATCATCAACATCACCTCCCACTGAACACTGTGTATCTTCAAATTCATTCTTTGATTAATCCTTAATTAATATTAATATAATAATAGTGTTATTAAGAAGAAGAAGAAGAAGAAGAAGAGTGTTCTGTTATAAAACCGTGTGTCAGCCTGCTTTTGGTCTCACCATTTAAATCGTCTCTGTAAGCACTTTTAACTGGAGTCTTCCCAGCTTTTCTTTTTCTCATCTTTTTCTTAATGCGGAAAATAATTGAATGAATCCATTCAGTGAAGAATGACAGGTCAAACGGGGCTGTGTCCACTCAATTGGACTACACCCTCTTCTCTGTACGGATCCCTGTTTCTCTCTCTCCAAAACACCCAAACGGTGATGCACAAGAGAAGCACTGTGTATCCAGAAATGAACTCCTCATCTTCAGAACTTGGTGTCACATCAGTTCTTCTGCTGTCCTTCTCATGGTGATCCAGGTAACTGAGGAGCTCCTCCATACACGTCTGCACCAAATAATCCTTGTAGATTTGACTGAGGCTGGGTGGACTGGTTCGCACTACTTCAACTGGAAGGAACTCACTGTCCAGCACCACACACTGAACGGTGTCCACATTAAAGTGGAGGATGACCTCTCCATTGAGTCTGTATTCAGCTGTAGTGCTCAGTAAGGTCACATCTCCACTAGAGGATCTCTCAACCTCACAGTCATGTCTCTTTACTATGTCACCAGGACCTGAAATACAGACGAAAATCTTTTATTTAGAGTCTTTTACACACAGCTCACCATACTCACCAAAGTTGGTGTCACTACTGTAGGGCTCTGTTCATAAGCCTACATGACACCTACATAAGCTTGTCATGACAACTAACATAACCCTACACAAATGTTTATAAAGGCTTATTCCAATAGGAGCTATTTGTTATAAAGGCTACTTTAGTTTACTTTAATGACATTTGGGAAGAGTAGCTTTTATAAGGCCTGTTGGAATAAGCATTTATAAACATTTATGTAGGGTTATGTCAGTTGTCATGACAAGCTTATGTAGGTGTTGTGCAGCCTTCTGAACAGAACCCTACAGTAAAGTGTTACCCCAATTTTAATATGCATATTAAATGTGATTTTTTTCATGTGATTGAATATAGAAAAGAAACTGACCATTATAGCTGATCTCCAGAAGGTCAATAAAAACTTCAGATTCATGTGGAACTCTCTGCTTCTTCATTCTTGTTCTACTCCAGAATCCTTCCATCCATTCTGAAACCATGTTCTCTCCATCAGTCAGGACAGCTGCAGTGAGCTCAGTGTTATTGGTATTTTGTAAAGGACTGAAGTGGACAGTGTGGACGTGGTACAGGTAGAATCTCTCTGTGGGGTAAACGGCAAAATAATTACTCAGAGCAGTTTTTAAAATCATCTTACAAACTAGTTGATGGTATGGTGTCCTGTTTATGAACCCAGACAAAGTGGGCTCCCAATCCAACAACAATACTGTTATCTTTTATGTTATACAGTACACTGTAAAAATAAGAGGTCTCCTCAACTTAAAGCACAAGGGTGTCAAACTCGACCACTAAAAAGGGCCTCATTAAAAAATCTCAACAAATCTGAGGACCAGAGAGTGTTTCTATTTTAATACACCAAAATACCAACAGCGAAATACAGCCACTTGTAGTGAACCTTCAAATATTAAATATGAATATTTGATATATGTAGGCCACATTAGCTACAGATAACTATTAAATCTCTTTAAATGTCCCCAGGATGTAGGTCTGTTAAACATACCAGTGTGCTTGATCTACACACCTTACATCTTTTCTTTCTGATAGTTCATTAATTCTTGGGATCAGTTTCTGAGCTGCTGAGTGTTTATAGCATTTATGTTGGTTGAACTGCCACTAAATCACAGTTGTTACATGGCTCTTCTTGAGTTGACTGAACTTGAGGACACCAGAGTTCACACAACTCAAACTTCTTTGACGCTGTCAAGACCCTGAGCTTTCCCTACAGCACAGGGTCTGGACGTATAGTTGGATCTCTAACTCTTACTGTACATCTACATTAATAACTGTCTTAATTTTAATTCTCAAAAGAATCAAAAAAGACTTCAGATGCTGAGCTTTCGTGGAAAAGGGAAAAAGGTCTCCGCTTTATTCGAGCATCAAGTGGCAAAGGTTTCTGGAAGCCAAATGCAAAGACAGCTGGTCCCACTTTATATTAAGTCACTAATAACTTTGCAGTTACACATGAATAACATCTGCAATTACACTGTAACTACTGATGATTTAGCCAATCTTACAGATGGATTACAGAAACCTATGTAATTACACACGTATCAATTTCAGTTTTGCTTTATTTAATTACAAAAGTGTATCTTTTTGATACAACACAGAAGAGAAGTCTTTTTCAGCAGTTAAAGGAAGTGTTTTACATAACATTACATTGTTTTACATAATTACTGTGTTGTAACAAGACTGAAAAACAAAAAACTGAAAAAAACTGCTGTTCCAGTCTGATTACAGTGTAATTACATGTATGTTATTATCTTTGTGTAATTACATGAGAGAGAATAGGCTGTTACAACTATTAAAATACACTTGTGTAATTACATGAGACGAAACTGAAGTTGATACACGTGTAATTATAGGCTTTACATCTGTAATCTGTCTGTAACAGCATCTAAATCATTAATAGTTATAATGTTGTTGCATATGTTGTGCACTTGTAACTACACAGTTATTAGAGACACTTAATATAAAGTGGGACCACAATTTTTGAGGTGATATGATGATCAACCTGCCATTTTTACCAAGTTTCAATTCCATTTTAGTCCCCATTGTACTCAAATTCTTTACCTTTCTTGGTCACCTTTAAATCAAAATGTACATAATATCCGTTTTATAAAAGCCGGTCTCATCCTGCTCGTACCAGGCCGCTCTGTCCCTACATGCTCATCCTGCTCATACCAGGCCGCTCTGTCCCTACAAGCTCATCCTGCTCGTACCAGGCCGCTCTGTCCCTACAAGCTCATCCTGCTCGTACCAGGCTGCTCTGTCCCTACAAGCTCATCCTGCTCGTACCAGGCCGCTCTGTCTCTACAAGCTCATCTGGTACAACTTTCTGTGTGAGTTCAAAAGTTCACTAAAGCTAGAATTTTCCATGCACACAGGTTGTAGCCTGTTGTTTTTCCTGTATTACCTCTTTGTGAGAGAAATCAAGATTCTCTTTTGAGTCAATGCTGGATCTATTCATTTATATTGATTTATTCAAATTTAGCATCAGTGCTCTCAGCCATCACATGGATCTGGTAACCTTAATCAGCAGCAGACCTGATTTAATTTGATAAAGGATTAAATAAATAAACCAAGTACTGGATAATAACTATAATTAATACTGGGATTGCTTCAGCAGAGGGTTGAAACTGACAGACATGCACTGCAAAAAATGGCATCTTGTCAAATGAAATCTAATCTTAGTTCTAGTCGGCATATCTAATATTTCTTGTTTTGAGATGGTTGTGCACTTATTATAGGATTGTGTAGCTCATTCCCAGACATTTTTCATTGGTTTTAGCTAATTTTATCAGGTTAAATTATCTCACTATACTGGCAGATCATTCTGCTGGTTTCAAGCTCATTTCTTACAACAAGCACAATTATCTGCCAACATACTGAGATAAATTTATTAATAAAATGACTTAAAACAGGTAAAAAAACAATGTATAGAAATACAGTAAATAATTTTAAATTAAGATTCTAAAAATCTCAACAGGAGAAATATTAGATTTCTTTACTAAGTTTAAGATCATTTTACTTGACAGTGTAAAATCAGTATTAATTATATTAAAGTTACAGTATTTGCTCTGATTTTAGTGTTTTTATGAGTAAACAAACACCTACTGATCTGATTCAAATTCAAACAGCTCATGATTCCTCAGGTCCTGAAGACTTTAACACAGTAGATTGTATCTAAACATGTCTTTACACATCAGTGATGCCTGTTTACCTCTGTGAACAGCTGAAACACTGTGAGCCACCAGGAGCAGAAGGAAATGTGTGGAAGGTGCCATGATGGCAGCAGTTCACCTTCGCCTTGCAGTCTGATGGTCCTCCTGTAGGTGGCAGCGTCGCTCTGTAAACAAACAGCTCTCAGTCCTGTGCTCTAACACAGCTCTCAGTCCTGTGCTCTAACACAGCTCTCAGTCCTGTGCTCTAACACAACTCTCAGTCCTGTGTTCTAACACAGCTCTCAGTCCTGTGCACTAACACAGCTCTCAGTTCTGTGTTCTAACACAGCTCTCAGGCCTGTGCTCTAACACAGCTCTCAGTCCTGTGCTCTAACACAGCTCTCAGTCCTGTGTTCTAATACAGCTCTCAGTCCTGTGTTCTAACACAGCTCTCAGTTCTGTGTTCTAACACAGCTCTCAGGCCTGTGCTCTAACACAGCTCTCAGTCCTGTGCTCTAACACAGCTCTCAGTCCTGTGCACTAACACAGCTCTCAGTCCTGTGTTCTAATACAGCTCTCAGTCCTGTGCACTAACACAGCTCTCAGTCCTGTGTTCTAACACAGGGCATCTCTCTGGAGTTAATATAGTCAGAGATCATAATATGACTCTCTTTGACTCTGTCCTCTGTCCCTTCACTCTGTCCTCTCTCCTTTCATTCTGTCCTCTCTTATTTCATTCTGTCATCTCTCATGGCATTCTGTCCTCTCTTCCTTCATTGTGTGCTCCCTATTTTCATCTCCTTCCATTATATCCTCTCTCCTTTTCATTCTGTCCTCTATCTATTCATTATGTGCTTAATCTTTTCATTTTGTTCTCTCTCCATTTATTCTGTCCTCTGTCCTTTGGCTCTGTCCTCTCTCCATTCATTCTGTCCTCTGTCCTTTCGTTCTGTCCTGCTTTTTTCAGTTTGTTCTCTCTCCTTTAATTCTATCAACACTCCTTTCATTCAGTCCTCTGTCCTTTCATTCTGTCATCTCTCAATTAATTCTGTCCTCTTCTTTCAATCTGTTCTCTCTCCTTTCATTCTGTCCTGAATGTGTTTTAAACTTACTTTACAGCATATTACAGCCACTCTAATCAGAATACACACAGTGTAATCAAGTTCCAGAGGGCAGCAAAGTGTTAAGTTTTTCTTTTTTTTTTCAAAGCCGCAAAAATGTTCACACTCTTCTCCAAATATGGATTTGAACCCTGATCTCTAACACTGTAACAGAGAGGACTCAGGAAGCTGGATGGGGTCCATGAGCAGAGTTTCATAGGAGAAAAAAACACACAGGAAGCAAAAGAACACAGAGAAAGAAAGAGAGAGAGAGAGAGAGAGAGAGAGAGAGAGAGAGAGAGAAGAATTATAACACATTCAGGTTAAATGCTTCCCACGTGTCATGCATATTTCCCAACAAAGACAATTTGAGCGAGAGAGAGAGCGAGAGAGAGAGAGGGAGAGAGAGAGAGCGAGAGAGAGAGAGGGAGAGAGAGAGAGCGAGAGGGAGAGAGAGAGAGAGAGAGAGAGAGAGAGAGAGAGAGAGAGAGCGAGAGGGAGAGAGAGAGAGAGGGAGAGAGAGAGAGAGAGAGAAAGAAAGAGAGAGAGAGAGAGAGAGAGTCCAGAGCAATGCCTAAAGAAGAATTCCACAGATTTTTCACTTCTGTACAGTTCAGCAGTTGAGATTTGATGCAGAGTCAGAATCTGAACGTGTTTCTGAGTAAATGCTCAGTAAAGCTGAGCTCTCTTTCTGATAAGCGGCTGATGTGGACGCTGAGACAGTAGCACTGATGATTTAGCTGTTGAATGTAAATATACAGACGTTTGTTTATCTGTATGTTGTAATCTGTCCATTTATGTATTTATCTAAATATGTATACTCTGAATCACAGGCGTATGTCCATCTGTACTCACCTCTAACTCCGTGCTGAGCACAGCTGCCCTCCTGCCTGACTTATGAAACTGAAAGTGTTTACAGGAAAGATGCTGAGGCATTATGGGAAATGTAGTGTCTGTACTGAAAGTGCAGGAACTCTATATCTGACATGTTTGAAATAAAACGCACTGTTTTCTGGAGTGTATCTAGTACCTGTCCTAGTACTCTCACACTTTCGGTGGAACAGTAACTTCTTTCAAGTGTTTCTGACCACAGAGTGTTATTTATGCTACATTAGGATCAAAGAGCAAAGAGGGTTTTTATGTAAGATCTGTGGCAAAAACCACGATAAGCCATTTATAACAGTCATTACACACATTTAGATATAAAAAAGCACCTACTTTACCATAAAAACTTTCCTTCCTCATTGTTGTTTTGTGGTGAACATGAAAAAAAGCAGCAAGAGACCCTCTCTTCCCTCAGAGAAGAACAGAGACCCTCTCTCCCCTCAGAGAAGAACAGAGACCCTCTCTCCCCTCAGACAAGAACCGAGAGACCCTCTCTCCCCTCAGAGAAGAACAGAGACCCGCTCCCCCCTCAGAGAAGAACAGAGAGACCATCTCTCCCCTCAGAGAAGAACAGAGAGACTCTCTCCCCTCAGAGAAGAACAGAGAGACCCTCTCTCCCCTCAGAGAAGAACAGAGACCCTCTCTCCCCTCAGAGAAGAACAGAGGGACCCTCTCTCCCCTCAGAGAAGAACAGAGAGACCCTCTCTCCCCTCAGAGAAGAACAGAGACCATCTCTCCCCTCAGAGAAGAACAGAGAGACCCTCAGTCAATAACACTGAAACATTAACTGGTAAGAGGAACTGATCACTACATGTGACACAGGTCAGGTGTGGATGGAACCATGCTGAGCTGAAAAACTTCACTTGTACAACATTAATATGTGCATGTGCACAATAAATGTTCATATCACCAATGAACGTTACTAATCATTAATGGTTTATACATATCTGCGGTGACATTTTACAACAACAGGCGTAAAACAACGACTTATTTACTCAGTGTTCTACAAATAATCAGTAATTACATTCAGTTGTAGAAACATAAAACATTAAATATTAAGCTTTTCCTTAGTTTCATAAAAGCATAATAATTTACGTCAATGATTAAGTAGTTATTCACTATTATGTGATGCACAAATGTTTGGTAATGTTTAGTTAATCATTAAGTGGTTAATATATGCTTCTTTTCAACATCATTAATCAATAAATATAGTATTATTACAATGTTGTGACTTCAAAATATATTAAAAAAATATGAATTATTACACTTACCTATAATTATTATCCAGCATTAACAAACTGTTAGATAACATTTAACTTGTTATTAAATTGCCAAAACTGTGCCCCCCTATGTACATTCATACATATTATAGTGTGAAATCATTTTAGCTGTGTAGTTTAATGTCCTGTAGGTGGCGCTGTGTGTATACACTCTGAAAGACTCTGTTTACATCTACACCATTGCATTATGGGTGAATTTTGAAAAGATAAGGGGGAATTTTCCACTCCAAGTCTCACTGAGGTTTGTGCATTAACGGAATAAAGAGATCCCTCATCCTACAGAAAACTACATAAACTTTGAAATAGTGTTGCTTTCATTTATTTCTGATGTGATATTTTATTTATTTACTTTGTTCCATGTGTTTTTATTATCTGTATTATTTAAGTTATGTAATTGTCTGTCTGCTACCCTGTTCTTTTCAGGGATACTTTTTATTATTTTTGATTATTGTTTTTTAAGTGTTTAATTATATTGTTATGAATTTTATTGTAAGTATTACTGGAATTACTTAATTTAGGATTGTTATTGTTGTTATTTCTCTTTATGTATTTGGTCATAAAGGGATCATGTATAGTTGCGTGTTTGTAACACATATGACCATTTAACTTAAGCACATTTACATAAATAAAGAAAATATATGACAAGAAAGAAAAGATATAATAACTGCACTTTAATAAGCGATCATGATTATTAGATCAACATGGACTCCTCAAGTGTTCCCAGGCACATATTAAATTAATTATGAACTAAAACAACGGGACATTGTGTGAATACTTCATCCACAGCCTGGAGATCAAGGCTGCTATCATTTCTGCAAACCACTAGATGTCACTGTGCTCTCTGTTTTCAGCGCTAGTGGACAGTGACAATGAATTTTGTTGACTTTCTGAGTTGATTGTAACAGACTGATGTCTGTACAAATGTAAAATGGTAAAATTGTGCTGAACACACTTAATTAGGTCGAGCTCTATGTTGTTTGAACAAGACAAGCTAAAAACTAAATCTAAAACTAAAAATATCTGCCTCAAAATAAAAATGATTGCATATGCAATGAGTGCATCAAACACTGACCCCTTTATTTTAGACCACAAAGTGGAGGAGCTAATATTATATCTTTTAATAATTAAATATAGATTATTAACAGTTTTGATTAAGCTTTGCATAAGAACTCCCAAAAATGAACAGCTGTAAATGTATATGGGGGATATGAAGTTCTCTGACTGTTTTTCAGTTGTGAAGCCTCTCTTAAAAAAGAAAAATCTGGAAGCAGCTCTACTGAGTAATTACAGACCGAGTTCAAATCTACCTTTCATTGGCAAAATAACTGAAAAAATTGTCTTCAAGCAACTTACTGGCTTAAACAGCTGTCTAGAGAAATTTCAGTCAGGATTTCGGCCTAATCATAGTACTGAGACGGCCCTCATTAAAGTTTTGTTCCATCCAGTTAGTGATGAGCTCAAGGCACTTACAGAGTCAAGAGGACCATAGCGGTTTGGGGAGAGGGCCAAGTAGGGTATCATCTACCCAGATATCCCATAGTCTTATAGTATTTGACCAAGAGGAAGCAAGTATGAGAGTGGAGTGCCTTTACAACTGCACCAAACACAAAATATTTCAGGAATTCAATCTTCACTGCTTTCGAGTTCACGTCAGGCCACTGTGCAGTCTGACCGGTCCTGCATGTTCAGACCTGAACACTGTTTTGCTCTCCTGTAGGAGAAACTCCCGATATGATCTTTGATTAAGGATCCCATGAGAGGCAGAGGACCTGCAGAACTGTGTATTTCTTTATCACATGTTTTAAAAAGACAAACAGTGGCATTCATTTCAGTGGTGTACCTAGACCAGAGGCTCTTTTACTGCCCACAGTTTTAACAATAAGTGGTCTTAAACACTGGAGTTAATTCATTAACGTTATTAAACACTGCTAAATCAACTTCCACTCTGAAGGCTGGTGTGCAGACTGCTGGTCATCATAGCAACGCAGACAACAAACCCGCATTAGCTACTAGATGAAACAGCAAGATGAACATTACTAATTTGGAGATGAATGGACTTACTTGCATTTATAATCACTCCAGCTGGTTTCCTGATACGTTTAATCTGCAATGAGAAACTGTCAAACACTAAAAAGTTGTGAGGCTGAAGTCAGTTTCTCATTCACCAGCTTCTTGTTTGAATTGTCCCGTTCCACCTTAAAAGGCCAAAGTAAAAAATCACAAAGCTGGAGTCATGGTGTAACAGTTACATTCTTCTGCCTCAAGCACCATTTAAGGTGGAACAGGAACCTTGTAAAAACAGCCTCATAAAAAGTCAAGCATGGAGAGACATTTTACAAGAAACTGTTCTACTTTTGCACAAAAAGTTTCCTGCTGGAGATGTGAGAAAATCAGCTATAGCTGAGCTAAAGCTTAAAGCAGAGCAAAGTAGGTCTGTGTTTTTGCTTATATTTTTAACCTATACTAGGACATCAGCACATACTGAGACACATTTACAGCCAAGATGGTAAAATGGACATTAAATGTTGCGGGTCCCAGGGTGGTTTGATTTTTGTTGAAAGGACAAAATGGCTCTTCTTAACATTTGGGTTGCGACCCCTGGTTTATACACGAGGTAACTTCAGGACATCTTTACCACTCTTCAGAGGAAGGTGGAAACTACTGTTACCATGGCTACAGATTGATGCTTTTGCTCAATTAACTGTGTTGTCATTATGTTCTGCTTTAGCACTTTATTTGCAAGAGGCAAAAATAACTTACAATGCAACAAAATAAATAGTGAATTTAACTTTTTAATTATTTTGAGATTGCCCTCAATATGGCGAGCTGTCCGTGTGAATGCACAAATGGATGCAAATGGAGTGGTCAGGCTGAGGAGGGAGGAGCCAGAATTAGGTAGGGTATAAATGTGGCACACAGAAAAAAAACACACATCAGAAATATTATATTTTTAATTAAAGTTAATTTTAATTTAATAAATTTAATTAAAGTCCATTTTTACACTTTTAACATTGAAACCTTCACATAAGTTCAGTGTCCTTTTTATTTAACTCTGAGGAAGCAGGTGGCAAAGTTAGCCTTTTTCTTCCATTTAGTATGACACAAAGATGCAGACATGCTAGTCATTCTACCAAAACGCTAGCTGAAGGTCTGCCGCAGCTCTGTGAGCGTGGTGGAGTTTTACTGTATACAGCGCTCTTAAAAATGGTTTAAAATAGTTTTTAAAGGGTTCCTATGTGAAGACAGTGGTTCTGTATAGAATCATGAACACTCAAAGAAAAGGGTTCTTCTGCTGTTACATTTTTTTACCTCATAACAATAGCAGAACCCTTTTTGGTGCTATGTAGAACCATTTTCAAATGGCCTCTACAAAGAACCATATGCATCACAATCTCCTTCACTCTGAAGAACCATTTCACCATGCAAAGAACCAATTAAGCATGGAAATGGTCCCTTGAGTGTTCATTTAGAGGGGCAACGCCCCACCAATCACTCATCATGCCCTGCTGAAAAGGTTCTATATGGCACCAAAAAGAGTTCTGCTATTGTAACAAGCCTGACATCGTAACAATAGAAGAACGCTTTGTTGGTGCTACACAGAACCATAAAAAAAGGTTCTGTATAGAACCTTCTACAACACATTCTCCATCAATCTGAAGAACCCCTTCACAATGCAAAGACCACTTCTATCATGGAAAGGGTTCTTGGAATGTTCACGGTTCTATATAGATCCATTTACTTTACTGAAGAACCCCTGAAGAACCATTATTTTTGAGTGTGTATATGATGAAGACATAAATAATATATATATATATATATATATATATACATATACATCCCTGTCCAAAGAACAAGTATCAAGTAACAAGTATCTCCAAAATAGTAACTTTACAGGAGAGAGCAAAAACATTCTTACCTTTCAATGTAAGTTAATGTAAAGAGATTTTATTCCAAGCCATTTTGGGTCATTTCTTTTGCTCCATTTATCATCAAATGTTTTTTGACATCATTTGAAAATACCTGTTCCTTTTTACATTGTGTGTAAATTTCATGATGAATGGACTAAAAGAAACTAAAATGACTTGGAAAAAACTCTGGTTCCACTGACTTACATTAACACTAAAGTAGGTTTTTTCCTTCTCCTGTAAAGTTACCGTTGTGGAGATACGAGATTTTGTTCCGACGGCAGCGAAATATATAAAGCCGAATGAATACAAGCCTACAATTACATCTATTGCACACAGTTGCATTTGAGACGGTTACTCTACTCTTGTGGAGATTTCACATCATTTCATTACTAACAAAACTGTTTTTTCAGGAAGAAAGACGAGTCATATCTGGGCTTCGTGGGAGAGATTCCATGGAATTCTATAGTCCTGAAAAATGAAAAGTCACGTGTTAGCTCAGTACTGGATGAGTGTGTGACAGATCATCTACAGGGGATCAGAATGTGTTTGTTCTGATTACATTGGATTCAGTGTTTAGTGGACGTGTTTATGAACAGATGATGGTCTCACCAGTCTGAATCAGTATGTCCTTACTGCAGTTCTGACCACCACCACCACCACCATCATCATCATCATCATCATCATCATCCTCATCCTCATCTTCATCATTGTCGTCATCATCGTCGTCATCGTCATCATCGTCGTCATCGTCCTCGGCTGAGGGAGAGTGAGAAAAGGGACTGACTTAACTGGTAGACCCACAATACACTTGAATTCAATAACGCATCTCTGGATATTTTCAATGTGTTTACATCTAATGAATCCCATCATTTTATTTGTTGAACATGAACTATAGATGTAATAACCAACATAACCCAGTGTTTAACATGTATATCAGCTTGCCATTTGGTTCACCGTTTAAATGTTCTCTGAAAGCATCTTTACCTCGAGGTTTTCTTCTCCTTTTCGTAAAACATAACAGAGCTGAATAAATGGCTCCAGCGATAAATGACACTTTTAAATAAGAGCAGAAAGCACATCTGGGATACTTCCTCCGTCTGTGCAGACTACAAACTATCAAAATAGACACACTGAAGAACATTATGAGTAAGAATGACCAATATCTTTCTTGAAGTGTCCATGGTTCAGCAATATTCCCAGTGAAGAACATCACGACTTCAGATTCTGAGATCTCATTTCTGTCCTTAGCGTCCAGGTATTTGAGGAGCATCTCCACACACCCTTGCAGCAGATAGTCCTTGGTGATTCGGTGAAGGTAGAACGAATTGTCCCACTTTATTTTCACTGGTAGGAAAGTTCTGTCCACTGCTTCCCACTGGTCTTTGTGAACATTGAAGTAGAGGATGACCGTCCCATTGTGTCTGTATTCAACTGTACTTTTCAGTAAGGTCACATCTCCAGTAGAGGATCTCTCAATCATACAGCCACTTTTCTTCATAAAGTGATGAGCTTCTGAAATCCACAAAAAATTACATTTTTTGTTTATATATTGTTTATTTACAGTCTTTTACACACAGCTCACTACACAAACGTCCGATAATATTAAGGGTTGCATGAACTAGTCAACTAGTATGTCCACTAGCCATTACTCTGGGCAGCAGTTTAGTCTAGTGAAGGACAGCCTAAAACACAGCGGTGGTAAAAAATGCAGTGAAGACGCTGGAAGAGAGATCTGAAATCAGTTTGTCTGCTAACAACAAAAAAAGTACTTTACTGTTGTGGAAATTCTACATCAGATGCAACTGATTCCACTGCAAGTTGTGCAAGACTGCGGTGAGATCCAGGCTTATAAGCCTGACCAGGGAGGTTTTAGACTGTGAAAGGAAAGAGCCGTTTGACTGACATGCAAATCAACTGTTCATAGACTGCTTAGCGCCATGTCCACAATGAAAACAAACAATGATATTTTGTTTATTGCCTACCTATGATTTCAAACACAATTCAGGAATAACTTCTTAATATCATGAATGTGTTCCGGCTCAGGGATTAGGCCTTTTCCTCTCTACGAAAGGCTTACTGGCGAGTAGGGATGCAGCTGTTTGATACTAGTGTTTAGCTTGGTCAACAGTCATTTGTTTTCCACAGTCAGTTTTAATTCTCAGTGAGAGGTGATATTCTGACAGCTGTGGTGATTTTGGCCAGAGACTGAAATAAAGGTCTGCACTCCCACAGATTCCCACCAGACCCACCACTATATCTTGCGGTGGGGAGCTAAGGTTCAGTGTTGTGCGTGGGAAACCAGCCCACTGCAGGCGGGAGCAGGACAAAACGCACATGAAGAAAAAAGCAGAACCATAACTAAAACACACACACACACACACACACACACACACATATATGAAAACAAAAGCCCATGTGTCAAACACAAGGCCCCTGGACCAAGTCACCCCCATGACACAGTCCTATTCAGCCCACGAAATTATTTAAATTTTCTAATATTATAAGCTTGTTTCACCCTAAGATGCACTACAGACCCCAGCATGCACTGCAATATAGTGTGCATTATGACCCACTTCCTCCAATAACAATCTGCTGGCCCAGTCCCTGTTAGCAAGCTCTTAACAAAATACTTTTCACTGATGTCCAGAACACTCATATTTTGTTTTTGTGGTTATGAAGTCATTCAAAAAAGTAGTGGAAAATTTGCCTAGTCATCCATACAAAAATAATTAAAAATGAAACGTCTTGTAACCCCAAAATAACATATATTTGAAGTGTCTGTTATTTTTGTATATATCTGAATTCAGCGCTTACCATTAGAACTGATATCCAGAAGGTGGCTGAAACGTTCGAATTCGTTTTGCAGTGTCTGCTTCTGTGTCTTCCTTCTTGTTCTACTCCTCCAGGACTTTTCCATCTGTGCAGAAGCCATGGTTTTCCCGTCACTGTAGTAATGCATCTGTCTACCATCAAGCAGGACACTAGCAGATTGTTCTAAGTACCTCACTGAGGTATTCTGTAAAGGATTGAAGTGAACACTGTGGATGTGGAACACGTAGTGTCTCTCTGTAGGACAGACAAAAGGCAAAGAAGAGTAAAACAGTCACCCAGTGGACAGAACACTTGGACGATGGCAGAGCTGTCATTCAGAAACGTTTCAGCTGTCTAAAAGTAACTAATATACAACCCCATTTCCAAAAAAGTTGGGATGCTGTGCAAAATGTAAATAAAAATAGAATACAATAAATACTGTTTTTTGGCCTCGTTCTTTTTTTGGAACGTGTTGTTGGCATCAAGTTCGAAATGGGCAAATATTTTTCAAAACAACAATAAAATTTCTCAGTTTCAACATTTGATATGTCGTCTTTGTACTATTTTTAAATAAATACAGGGTTTAAATGATTTGCACATCATTGCATTTTGTTTTCATTTAAATTTTGCACAGCGTCCCCACTTTTTTGGAAATGGGGTTGTAAACATAGTAAATCAAATGTTCACAATTTGAATCGTGGCTGCAGTACAAGAACAGACTCCATGACTGTAGGAGACAAGATACAGAGGCATGCAAAAATGTGGGCACCCCTGGTCAGTGTTTCTGTTACTGTTGTTACACGCAGGCGTGCTGACACGTGTTTTCTCTCTTTCTCCCCTCCACCTGTGTGCTCTCCCTCCCTCTCTGTCTCTCTCTGTAGGTGGAGTGAGCTGCCAATTACTGTCCTGCGTGTTGTCAGCTGGCCAATCAAGCAGTCTTGCAGCAAAAAGGGGCAGGGCTTCCCATTCAAGTGTGGCGCGGACAAGCTGTGCATCACTCTTTAGCCATTCTGTCGCGCATTTGTTTGCTATACTGAATTGTTGACCTATCTAGTTTGCTTTTGCTCTTATCTGTCTGTTATTAGTTCAGCATTAGAAGTTTGCAAAGAAACGTAAACAAGCCTGAATTCAGTTGAATACCAGCAAATTCTGGAAGGAAACATCACATCATCTGTAAAAAAATCTGCAGATGAAAAGGCCCTTTTATTGTGAAACCATAGAAGATGGAATTAAAAGTAATCTTGCTTAAATTATTAAAGAAGTGTGGCGTCTTTAACTTTGTGCCTTTTGGAAATCAGGTCATCTTTTAGCTATTCTTAGTAATAGAAATTTTGAGCAGCGGTGCCCAAACATTTCTAAAGAATTTTGGAAGGAGATTTGTGTGATTTCTGTGTAAAGCTAGAAGCCTCGACCCCCGTTTTTATGAACAGAGGTTGGACAGGTCCTCAGAGATAGGACTAAGGAACAGGGAGGAGTTGGCGTGGTGGTCATCACAGGAAGGGCAGAGCACAGAGCAAAGAGAGTTTGTGACTTGACCGATCTATAGGTAGAGGCCAGAAGGCAGTGGAAGAGGTGGAAAGAGTTGGGTGTTGCTAGATGGGATGGCTGGGGGAGGGCTGGTAGCATCAATCCTAAAGGGAGTGATGAGGCCAGCCAAGGGCAGAGCAAGAAGCAAGAAGAGAGATTGAAGTCTGAGCTTGGAGGATCCACAGGTGCAGGCCAGAGAGGACTGGAAGAGGCATGAAGAGTCAGGGATTGACAAGTAGGACAGCAGGGAGGAGGGTTGGTCTCACCAGTCATCCAGGAAGTGATATGACCAGCAGAGGGGCGAGAAGAGAGACCAAAGTCAGGCGTTGGACAGTGGAATGGCAAGGGGGCAGAGGGGGAAGATTGAATAGTTGGGGGGGACCAAAAGGGCTGGCAGCTGAGGAGCTGGAAGACCTGGAATGAGGTGAAAGAGTGAAGGAGAGAGGGGGGAATGAGATGAATGGAGCGATGAGGTGAAGATGAAGGGTGGTATAAAGGTGGGGGGGTGGAAGACAGAGGTGAATAAGGAAGGAGTAGGATGAAGGCAATGGGAAGTGATGAAAGGAGGCTGAGGATAAAAAAAAAAGTACAAACTCAGTGCCAAAAAAGTTGGGAAAGTATGTTTAACGCTAATAAAAACAGAAAATGCTGGTTAGTAAATTCAGTTTGACTGAAAAATGTTACAAAATGAGGATATTTTGTCTTTTACTTTATGAACTGATTTTTTCCAGTTTTGAAAGCAGAATATTTTGCCAGTCTTCCGTTATACCAGTCTTCAGCTGTGCAGTCCAGCTCTGTCCAAACTGCCATGTATCACCTTTTTATTGTTTTTATTCAAATACTGGTGAAAGTAGATTTAGAAATCGCTGCTTTCTATTTTTATTTGCCTTTCAAATCCTGTCCCAACTTTTTTTGAATAGTATTTCTAGGACATCAGGCAAGAAACAGTAGGGGTGAGAAGATTGAATCCACAATACAGTATGATGTGCATCTGTATTAGAAATATCCTAAGGTAAACAAAAAAAGCTATCATAATAATTATTAATACTGTGACAGGGGACATTAATGTAGGCAATTAAACTGAATAAAGCTTTCATTCTTTTTAGCAAGTCGTTCATTTAAAGCGAGCAACTTGGGTAAATTTGGTGCCCATATTTAATCTAACATGCAAATTCATTGGAAAAACACAAAAATGGACGCATGAAAGGCTGCATTCCAACTATATTATGGTTGATCCAACATAGACATGAACTATGGTTACATTCCTAGAAGAAAAACGAGAAAAACAGGAGGTTATAAAGAGGAGAACAGAAGTAGGCATGTAAGAGTGGTGACTGCGCTTAATGTGCATCAGCATCATGATTTTGGTGTATGGCTGCACTGGCCTGATTATTAATACCGTAAATGCTAGCACCATTTTTGCCCACAACCACACGCCATGCCCACCTGCCCCCGCCTGCTTTGGGCTGTGCTGGTGGTTCTCGTCAGCTTCCACCCATGTTTGCTGTAATCTGCTGCACAAACCCTGTGGCACGGCACAACAGCCTCCAGACCCATCACCCCTCCCCACACCCAGCAGCTCAAATAAACGTTTGAATATTGCAGAAGCAAATATTTTGTGTATGTTTAGGCTAACCAAAGCCCTGTGAACTTGCACATGGCACCACACAATGAGTGTTGCATCATGTACCATCACCGCCGAAGCTCGGCTTCGTGACTAACATTAATTTGATCCGTGTCAGTGTTATATTGTTAGCTAATAACTCTACAAAACATCTACAATCAGCTGAAATTAATTTAAAGACAAAACAGAGGCTGAGGCTACGTCACAGGGCCTAAATCTTTATTTAAGGCTTAGCAGAAAGCATTCAGCCTGGGCACAGGCTCCGGAAATCCAGTGCCAAAGCAGCGTACAGGGTTCCCACTGTAATACAGTTTTTAGAGGTGATGAGGTAATCACCCCTCCCTCTTAAACACTCACATCCAAAGATGTTCTCTTTTTTGGGCACAGTCAAGTCCAAAAGAAAGATCTCAGGTATCTCTCCTGTACCTGGTACCACCTGACTTCACCAGGGTCTTATACAGCCACTTTATATACGCTTATACAACTGGCCTACTTATGCTTAAGGTACAAAAGTTCACTTACAAGCCTCTACTTAAGCGTTGGGTTCACTATATGACTTTTAAAGTCTTAACAGATTATAAAAGACTGGGTATCTCGCACTATCCCACTTCTTTTTGCAGATTTTTTTGGGTGACCAAAATATTAGGGATCACACACTACCCAACTTTAAAGCTGCTGCTGAACCGAACGGAGCCCACTGAATTCACACGAACTCATGCAAACTCTCACGTTTTCCCATTACTAGGAGATGCAAATAAACAAACATGGAGCGACTGCTGCTGTGTCTTAAACTCAGCTCATTAAAAAGCTTTGTTCCACACGTGGGAGACTTTTCACCATTTTTCTTTGTTTATTTGCTGTATTTTATTCTTTCTCACTCTCTGTTTTCATTGGCTGTTGCAGGAATCTGTTCAGAATGAGTCGTTGGTCAGTTTACACTAGATTACACTCAGAGACTGGTCTGAAACATAATCGGGAGGCCAAAAATCTGACACACTACTCGATTCTCTCTCCAACTGTTGACTCTGACTGACCCAAAAATCTGCAGACTAGAGCCGACCAGCACAGACTCGGCCAGACTGAGAATCAGGGCTAAAATCAGGGTAAATGTCTTGTAGTGTGAGCCCGGCTTTAGAGTTTTCTGGAACTTTCTGCACAAACTATCTGGCACCTTCCTTAAGAGAAATCAGAGTTTCTCTTTAATCATTTGAGGATATCGTCCTTTTATTCCATCAGGGACTAAAGTGGACTATCCAATTGAAGTGAGACCAAATTCAGTTAGATTTTGTGCATAAGTTATTACTGGATACACTGTGGCTTCATGTGTTTTGCTGATTGTGATTACTAAAATGTTTTTCTCTGCAGCTCAATTGCAGCTCATTTACTGCATGTTCGCTTGCAAACCTGCCCCACTCAGCCAGCCATGATACCCCTCCGCACCAGCCTGCAACCTGTTGGCTGTTTACCCACAATGACTGCAGTGCTTCAAAATGAATCCCACCCACAAAATATTTAGCAGATCACGCAGAACCTGCAGGTGAACCTGCCTTGTGCAGGCCTCTAGTTACATTGGCCACTTTTTAATAGTTAATCATAATAGCTTAAATAGTTCTTGGTAAAATAGTTCTTCAGATTGATGTCTGAGGGTTTCTTAAACATTATGTAGTGATAGCAGAGCCTGTTCTCTGGTAATACACTGTAAAAAGTGATTCATCAGATCCACCTAAAAAAATGACTTCATGTGGTAACAAGTGGTTGAACTTGTTTTATTCAGCTTAAAACTACACTGATTGAAAGAATCATTCACTCGAAATATTTATTTAGGTTGAATAAAACTAGTTAACTTACTTTTTACCACATGAAGTATTTTTAGGTGAAGTTATTTACGTTACTGAAGTCATTTTTTTAGGTAGATCTGACGAGACTCTTTTTACAGTGTATGTAGAACTCATAGTTCTAAATAGAACCAATGGCAAGCCTCTTACACTTGAGGCAGACAAGGTTAACAAGGTTAACAAGCCTCTTACATTTGAGGCAGACAAGGTTAACAAGGTTAACAAGCCTCTTGACCTTTATGTGACATCATATCCGGCGCTGAGAGTGCAGGGCTGAGAGCGCGGTGCTACGGCTCTGCAGCTAGACCCTTTCTGAATTTTAATGCTAGCTTGCTAACCCACAAGTACAGTTCATAGTACACCCCTTCCTCTCCCCCCACACTGTTTAAATAGTGCCTTTCAAACTAGTTGGTCAGTTTGGCCAATTTCTGCTCCAGGCAACGGTAAGGGCTGTTATTGTCAAGCGAAACAACAGCTCAGTGGTGAGGCAGTAGGACCATTCAAACTCTGAGTGAATGGCACCAGCGTGTGCAGAAGCAGATAGCATATTAAATCACACTGTAAAACCCAAGTGCACATCTTAATGAAAGAATTAAGTTAACACATCTTAGATACTGCAGAAAGGTGGAGTAACTTCATCTGAAAAATTCCACATAACTCAAAAAAGAATTGTTGAGATAGTAACTCTGTTTTCAGCATGTTCTGAGTTAAAGTAACTTTTTTTTAAATGTATTATATTCACTAATTTTATTTAACTTTACACACAAATACAGACAGGTTTTTAAAGATTGTTGAAAATTTAGTGTGGCTGGATTATTTTCCCCTTCTTCTAACTATATATACACACTTAGAATTGATGACAGGCTGTTTACTCCATGTATTAGTCCTAATTTTAGCCTGTTCAGAATTACCCATGTTAAAAGTGATGGCACATGAAACAGTCTTGATGTTTGCTAGCTGCCTCAGCACAAGCAGAATGTTCTAATGTGTTTGGCTAAAACATCAGCCGATTCAGTGGCTGAGCTGACGGAGTGCATATTCTGTATCAGTAAGTTCATCTGACAGACTTGCATAATTGTTTACATTTAAACAATTGGGATCTGCTTTCTCATAACTTTATTTTCAAACATTCAAACAGGATCTTCGTGTTGAATCACCTTATTGATTTGGTTTGGATGTCTCAGCATTACTTGATAAATGTTTGGTCAACCTTCTTGATTAAACCCACCTTATACCCTGTTGGCTCTTTGTACCACATATTTGCATATTGGCCGTGTCTTTCCACCTTGTTTACCTGTCTGTGTGTTGTCATCCTCCTCAGCCCACTTTCCCTTGGGGGTATATTTGCTTTCTAAACTTTTGTAGTTTTTCTCACTCAGTCCTTATTGCAAATCACCATCGAGGGAGCTGAGTTACCGAGTTCCCACCTCAGTGTCGCTGCTGGACTGAGAACCAAAAAACATCCAGCCAACAGCGTCCTGTGGGCAGCGTCCTGTGGGCAGCGGCCTGTGACCACTGATGAAGGACTAGAGGATGACCAACACAAACGGTGCAGCGGCAGATGAGCTATCGTCTCTGACTTTACATCTACAAGGTGGACTGACAAGGTAGGAGTGTCTAATAGAGTGGACAGTGAGTGGACACAGTGTTTAAAAACTCCAGCAGCACTGCTGTGTCTGATCCACTCGTACCAGCACAACACACACTAACACACCACCACCACATCAGTGTCACTGCAGTGCTGAGAATGATCTACCACCCAAATAGTACCTGCTCTATGAGGGTCCATGGGGGTCCTGACCACTGAGGAACATGGTAACAAAGTATCAGAGAAACAGATGGACTACAGTCTGTAACTGTAGAACTACAAAGTGCTCCTATATAGTAAGTGGAGCTGATAAAATGGACAGTGAGTGTAAAAACAAGGAGGTGGACTTAATAAGTGGCCGATCAGCATATCTAATCTCCTCAGAAATGTCTCTTGGAACATGAATTACCTGTAAGAACAGCTGAAACACTGTGAGCCACCAGGAGCAGAAGCAAAAATGAGGAATGTGCCATCATCACAGCGGTTAAATGCAGAACATTCCAGACATTCAGGTTCCACTGCTTCCCTCATCGCCCGAGTCCTCCATGCAGTCAGATGTCTCCCGCCTGTATGTAGGAGCGACGCTCTGCCAACACACTCTGCAAACAAGCAGCCGTCAGTGATCTGCATGTCTGATTCAGACAGTGTTTCTGCATTTTATGTGGTCAGACTACATGAAAAAGACAGAACGTGTTCAACATGATGGACGTATGTACTGTTCAGGTAGCCCCACATATATAATCCATAACACATATCTTACTGTAATCATTACTTCCTCAGTGTTACTCTGAACTCCTAACAGGAAGTTTTCTATTAAGCAGTTTGTACTTCAGTTACAGTGATGCTGAAACATTGGTAGATTCTTATCTCTAGTGTTCAGCACAAAAACCTTTACATGGGTCTCCCAGCTCGAATAAAGAAATAAGCAAATAAACCTGGGCTACAGTTATGGGTATGAAGTCATGCCTGATATTCAAACAGCTGCTGACGCAGCAATACATCATTTTTCAGTTTTTGACATAATGTGAAAATGCCTGTTGCTCTTTACATTGTGTGTAAATTTCATTATGCATGGACCAAAATAAACAGCCCAAAATGACTTGGAAAAAAGTCTGGTTCCATTGATTTACATTAAAAGTACAGTTTGTTTTCTCCTTCTCCTGTAAAAGTTACCATTTTGGAGGTTTTGTTCCCACAGCAGTGCTATATTACATGCTATCACACGGCAGAATATGTGAGTAGAGCGAATGGTGAGAATTTCCAGTATGTAGGTCTGCTGAACAGCTCAGCGCAGATGCTGTGTACGACCGCTCTGTTATACCCTATTACACACACACTGGGTCTAAAGGCCTGAGACCACACTGTGCTTTAATGACAGCCTGCCCTCCAGCTGAATGGACTCCACGTGTTTGCATGTTTGTAATGTTAAAAGCCTCTGATCATCAGATCAAATGGAAGAGAGTCAAATTTGACTAAACAAATCTTTCAACCTGCGCAACGTCAGACATTTGCTTACATAGCCTAGAAAAAGCAGCAAATATGTCCTCTTGACTGTCT